TTTAAAACAGAAAGAAGACAGGGCTGGGGATTTAGCTCAGCGGTTCGGTGGCCTGCCTTGCAAGGGCAAGGACCCGAGTTCAATCCCCGGTACCAAAAAAAAAAAAAGAAAGAAAGATAGATTGCTTTCTTCTCTCTGGTCTCCTTCACACAATGATAATTACATCCAGCAGAGGTTTCCAGGCTTTCCGCACTGTATAGCTGGGCTTTTAACCCCTCCCAAAGACCAGGTAAAAACTGCCAAACCGAAAAGCATTCTTGGCTCGGCACACAGCTTACCCTTTAAGTAGGAGTCTGGGCAGCAGCAGAGCAAAGACTTCTCCCGAATTTGTCTATTAGCTGTGGAGCATGTTCTGTTCAAAGCAAAGCTAGGATGCTTCTAAAATACATGTTTTATTCTACTTTCAGGTAAAAGGCATAAAGGGAAAAATGAGACACAACCACCCCTTCCTCACCCTCAAATATATGTTGTTACACTTTTGTCCATGATGTTTCTATAAAAAGATGAAAGCAGAAAAAAATACACTTAGCAATAAGATTGTATTTGTCTCCTGAGATAAAAATCCTTCACCAAGTGGCAATGACCACTGCATGCACAGTGGTCACCTGGGGACTCCCAGTACAGGTCAGGAGCCGCACAGGCCTTTGGAGACTGACTTGAGGGCCAGCCGTGCAGAGGTGGGAACGGCTTCTTCTGAGTGCTCAGAGTGAGCAGAGCATCCTGCTAGGGGAGGGGAGGGGACCGTCGTGGAGTGGGGCCACCTCCCGCGCTCTTTGGTGTCATTGGCACTGGCATGAGTGCTGCATCCACCAAGAAAACAGAAACCACTTGGTCTCAGCCAGGAACGTCGGGCTGGAATCCGCGAGCTGACATGCTGAGCGGAGAGGCCATACGGCCGGTGTTGCAGTCAGAACAGCAGACCACGCTGCCTGGCAGGGGCTGGAAAGCCAGCAGGCGCAGGGCACCACAGACAAAAGAAATGGGGCACAGCAGGAGCCAGACCCACAGGAGGAAACAGGGACTGCCCAGGCGAGGAGCCTCGGCAGGAAATGCAGGAAGGCTTTGCACCATCCAACCTCCTGCCTCCCGGCTTCTACCCATCTTGCCCTTGCCACTGGGGAAGGCCGTGGAGACAAGGGGACACAGGGAGAGGCCTGCAAAGTGGCTATGGACGGTCACTTCCACCACGAGAGGTCTCTGCTCAGCTCAAGTCTTCATGAAACAAGGCTCACGACCCTCCTGCAAGAGTCTGACAGATGTAGGGTCCTTCATTTCTCAGCACTGAGCATGCTAGTGAGACGCTACCTGTACCACCCAAGAAAGTTCACAAAGGGATGTAACAGCTCTCAGAGGACAGACTTCAGAGAAGGGACCCTATAGGTCGGCGACAGAGCAGGGCAGATGCATTTACAATAAAATCTGTGGAAGACGCAACCCAAACATGATCATTTTGGATACCAGACATTAGACTTTGGCCACCCTGCCTTGAATCTCACCTGACCCTAATCCATATCTCCATGTGACTGATGGTGGCATTTTGCTAAGCCTTTATCTGCCAACCCAAATATGAGAGCCTAGTGTTAGGTTCTCTTCAGTGGAGCACAAATATGACGAGAGCTGAATGAACCATGGCCCCAGAGAGAATCTACTTGTCTCCAAGACACTGCCTGTTATTTAACAATAGTCACCCCCTGGGGCCCAGTGATCAAAAGAAAAAATGACCTAAAGAAAAGATGGTGTGAGCCTGGCATGGTGGTGCACTTGTAATTCCAGCTCTCTGGAGGGTGAGGCAGGGGGACTGCTGTGAATTCAAGAGCAGCCTGAACTACATAGAGAGACCCTGTCTCAAAAACAAACAAAAAGACATGTGGACATTGGTTCCGCACTCCCACTGGGCTTGGGTGGAAAAGCCTATTCCTCGGAGTCCAGCTCAAAGGTCTCCCTGGAGACTTTCTGTCTCCTCCCTCTGGAAGCCTTAAGGGTGCACTCACTGCATGACACCCTGACCGTTTGCTGCCTGAGTGTCCCTCTTCTAGTGATTTAGGCCAAAGCATCTTGTCAAGAGCAATTTGACTTACAAATTGAACATACAAGTCAGTCAGTACTATAATGTGGTCAGGAATGAATATCCCCAGTCACTGTTGTCAAGTCTGATAATTCAATTGTAGAATGGGGTTGTTTTGTAACACTCTATGAATCCAGAACTTCGGAGGGTGTTTTTTTTTTTAGGAATAGGATTTCTTTTTTGGCTAATTTATGTTCAGCTAGTTGTTGCTACTGCAGGGTATTTGTAATATGTAAAGACGGCGGGAAAAACAAAATATCCAACTTAGGAGAGTGTCTGAAATAAATTTTCAGGAGATGAATGGGAGCAACAACAATACATAAGCTGCATTTCCTTTTTACAGAAAACTAATTCTGCCTGTTCCTCTCCGACCTCCACTCGTGATGTGTAATAAGGATCTAGCACGCAGCGCAAATCTGACCGTGCCCCGCTTGAGTCCACCACAAAGCAGCTGGTGGCCACCGCTCTGGCCCCGACGGTGCACACCCGCCGGCCAGAGCCTGTCCTTACAAAGCCCTCGGCCTTCTGCCTGAATGCACCAGATCAGATGTTCTTCTGGGCTGAGATGCTACGTTCCAGGATGCGAACTAAATGTCCTGTCTCCCGCCTCTCCTCAGGGATGGACGTCTGTTTCTTCAGTTTCCAGCCTCCTCAGGCCCCCCCTCCACCCCCCAGCCTACACTGTGCACCGGGACGAGTGAGCCCTTCGGTTGCCGCTGCTCAACCCTGAGGCCTGCACTTGGCTGTGCTCCTAGGCCTGACCCCGAGTTCCCACCAGCTCTCTAAGCTACTTCTTGTCCCGACCTCCGGCGCCCTCCGCACCAGCCCCACAGAGGGTGCAGTGGTCCGTAATGAGCACTGATGGTCTCTAATCAGTTTATAATGAGAACTTAGTTAAACAAACAAGGAATCAGCTTGCTCAAGACATAATTAATAAAATTATTAACTCAGGTCTGAATTTAATGGCTTTTGACAAGAGCTTTTTCTGGAGTTATTTTTCGGAGAACTTCCCTAGAGTACTGGGGGAGAAATGTCTCAATCAACATACTGCAAAGGGCCTTGCACCGGCCTGTGCCCAGAATACCTGCCCTGCAGAGCAGGCATGCAGTGCTTTCCAGATGCATCACCTGACCAAAACAGGAATAAAAAAGGTATTTCAGCAGGCTGGGGATGTAGCTCAACGGCACAGCGCCTGCCTTGCAAGCACAAGGTCCTGAGTTCCGGCCGTACCAAAGGGGGTGCATTTTAGATTAAACAATGGAAAGGTCATACTCACAGTACTAATAAAAGGAATTATGTGCCGCAAAATCACTCAACAGCTTTCGTGTTGATTTTTTAAATGGTGAATGCAGATAACAAAAATATGAATCTGACCATATGCCCGCCTTGCTCACCTCATCACACTGAGAGCGCGCATCCCTCCGCATCAGAGCCCGGTGTCTACACTAGCAGGTGGAGCAGCGGTTGTGACCCAGGGGCTCGGGGGCCACTGCGCTTCATCAGTGAGGGTCCAGAACGTGATTGTGAGAGGACACGAAGAGATCGCAAGGCACTGTTTGTGAAGACGATGCAGGAAAGGAAAACGGGGCGTGGTGACCCCAGCCGCCCACGCAGCCCAGGCAAAGTCCGGCCGGGGCTGAGCTGAGACGCCGTGTTCTCCCGTGCGCCCGTCAACACGCACAACATGCGCACGCGGTCCTCGTGTTCATGTATGGAGTCTTTATTAGAAACACGAAGGAAGAGAGACGCGTGAAAGGCAGCCGCTGCTGCGGGACCAGGACGTCTCCGCTTCCACACATCGGGAAGCTGAGTACAGAAGGTCAGAGCGCTGTTTGACTTCCGACTTTTCCTTTACGGTGGTGCAGGAACGATATGCGTGCTGTAGAAACTGAACTTTGGAATGGATAAAAAGAGGTGGTATTTATGCACAATGGACTAACATCCTGCCATAAAAAGGGATAAACTAGAGGCATTTGCCGAAAGATGGATGCACCTTGAGACCAATGGATTTTGTTTGTTTGCTTTGTTTTTTTGTTTGTTGTTGGTTTTTTTATGGTACCGGGAATCGAACTCAGGACGTTGCGCTTGAGACAGGCGCAATGCCACTGAGCTACATCACCAGCCCTTGAGACCATAATGTCAAGTGAAATAAATCAGACACACTAAATTTGAATATTGCATGGTTTCTCTTAAATGAGAAGATAAGTAGAGCAAAATAAAAACAGATAAAGAGGAAGTAGAGGGATCTTTCGCAAATGGATGGGAGAATAAGAGATGGAAGGAGATGGGAGGAAGCGGGGGGGACTAGATGGAGAAAAAGACAAGAACTGAAGGGGAACTGATGAAAATAGAGCTTTTACAAATGGGAAGGAGACCAAGAGTGGGAAGGCGCAGGGGGAGGGCAACGAGGATGTACCACGCACGCGCCCCACAGAGCGACCCCATAAGCTGCGCCGCCCAGCCCGGACACAGCCTCTGCGCATGCTCCAGCGGGGCGGGGCCTACGGTTGGTTTTCTTGGTTGCTAGGTGACCAGAAGGCCGCCACCCACTGGAAATGGCAGGGTTACTCCGGCCAGCAGGGTCCCCGCACCCTTGCCTGTTCATCAGAACAACCTTACTGGCTAGCCCACGACGTGACAGTGAAAACCGTCCCACTGCCAGCATACACAGTGTCAATGATGGCAGGAACAGAAACGAGACAAACAGAAAGCAAAGCCAGAAGCAGAACAAGACCAGTAGGACCTGGGCTCGAGCGAGGCCACACCAGGAGGCTGACGGGAATGAGGGCTCGGGGCTGGCACTGAAGCTGCCACCGCACCAGTCTGCCCAGCTCTGCCTGGGCGCGGGTTCCTGAGAGGTAATCGCCTCCCACAGCAGCAGGGGGGCCCCGGCCCTCCTCACAGCCTCCTGGGCTCCTCACCTCCAGCTTCCTGGAGAGCAAAGCCTTCCCACTGCGGCCCACAGCCAGATGCGCAGGGCAGGGCCTGGGGTGGAGAGGTCTTGGCTCGTGGCCTGACCCGAGGCCGGCGAGGACCTCCCACCAGTGCCCTTGGGGACACTTCCCAGAGCCCAGAGCTTAACGCCCAGGCCAGGTGGCGGAGTTCACAGCCGCGGAGCCGTCCAGCCCGGCGAGCTCCGACCGGCTGCGTGGGCCAGGCCACAGTGGGGTGAGCGGACCAGACCCTTGCACAAAGCTGGGCGACCTCTCGGCTCACCTCGCATCGCTGTTGGTTAATGCAGGCCGCTCACCAGTCCTTGCTGGCCAACATGGAGGATGGTGACAGGCACCAGGCAACCACAGCCCGAACGCACTCCATCTCACACGGAAGTGTATCACGTGGGTGTGAGGAACGTAAAACCACAGGACAACTGAAAATAGCACGGAGTGCATGTGGCTCAGCTGTGCTGCTGAGCTGGGCGGCCGCGCCTCCTGAGAATGGAGCAGAGGCTGAGGGTGTGGAGGAGGCGCAGGAGCACTGCAGCCAGAGGCGGCCGGAACACAGGCTGAGGACAGACAGAAGACTGAGGGAGGCCCGGCCGGAGGAGGACGGGACACAGATGCGAGACAGACGGCGGGGTGGGCACCAGGCTCCTGGGGGCATGGAGACATGGGGGGGCTGCGGCACATGCAGCAGTAGGCAGGTCGCTGTCCCTAAATAAGCCACGACAGAGGCTCCCTCCCACCCCATGCCCAGCTGACGCCTTGCTCTGCCCCACAGGGTGGTCAGGTGCTTCCTCCCTCTCGTGTGTGCCGGACACAGCCAGGAGCTCCTCTGAGGAGGGCAGTGTGTGTGACCAGGCTCTTGGGAACAAGGCGGGCACAGCACACAGAAGGCAGATGGATCCTCCCATGGGAAAGGTGCGCTCAGCCCAGAGGACACACAGCGTCCCCACCCTGGCGACAAGGAAGCCGGCTGCAGCACTGCCGCCTGTCAGGAAGGAGACCCGGAGGGAAGCGGCCTCTTCCTACCTAGGCAGAAGTGCGGACGCCTGGATGAGAGCCAGACGTCACTTGAACACGCCTGTGGCAAACGAGCCCGACGTGGAGAAGAGGTGGAGACTCCTCAGACAAGCATGGGCTGTGCTGTCCTCTCCCCACTCCCGATTTAGCACAAAATGAACCCAACCGTAGCCTTCAGGGGGAAGGGAAGTCAAAGAAGGGCAGGAGAGGCGGGCACCCCGTGGCCATCCCGGGACCTGTCCCCCATGTATGTGGAAGATTTCCAGGAATGTTTCCTCCTACCGACAGCCAGCAGCTACCGAGCTCCTCCTCCCTTTCGAAGAGGCAGCTGCCTTCTCTGTGCTACAGCAGGCCACAGCGAAGAGCACAGTCTCTGACCTGGGAATTCCTAAACCCGGGGGAAGCTGCACCCTGGTCTGTGTTTGCTTTGGTTTTGTTTCATTTCTTGGCTTTCTATGAGCTGTATTTAATTTTTATTGACACATACGAACGTTTATATATATGGAGTTCATGTGTGTAACAGACAAACACCTAACATCCACAACTTAAAGAGTAGACATTTACTTTGGCTCATGGTGTGGGGGTTTCAGCCTGTGGTCAGCTGGCTGCAAGGCGGAAGCGGCCAGGTGAAAGGAAGTGGGGTAGGAAAGCTGCTCACCTCATGGCAGTCAGGAAGCAGAGAGAGAAGGGAGGGAGGAGTCAAGACAGCTACACTGCCCCTCAGGTCGCACACCCAGGGACCTGTCCTCTTTGAGCAGGCCCCCACACACGACGTGCTTGGAGAGCATTTTAGATCTACACCTTAACCATGTGATAATTCGATACTCGTCCACAAAACACGCTGATCAAATGGTGGGAGTTGGCATTCCCTTCTCACTGAACATGTTTTTCTTTGTACTTGTAGGCTACACATTCCTTTTCCAGCTCTTTATGACGCAGACAATGGCCTGCTATAGACTGTAGTCACCTTCCTGTGCTTAGAACACTGGGACTCACTCTTCCCATGTGACGGTTGCAACACCTGATTGAACTCTTAACACCCTGGCCCTGGCTGGCCTCTGGGAACTGCCACTCTACCCTCCTACGAAATCGGCTTTTTAGTGTCTACACATGACTGAGATCAGGCGGTATTTATCTTTGGCATATTCCCGTGAACATAACAACCTCCAGTTCCATCTGTGATGCTGAAAAGAACAGATTCCACTCCTCTTTATCACTAAATAATATTCCACTGTGTTTACACAGCAGCTTCTCGGCCCATGAGTCCTTCCAGGACGCCTCAGTCCCACACCTGGCTGTTGTGGACAGTGTGGCCACAAACCCGACAAAGCAGAGGTCTCTTTGCCGCACTGATGCCTTGATCTGGGTTTACAGAGAGCTTAGGGAGAAGAGTTAGACAGTGGCTCTGACTTTAACACATTTTTAAAAGGGTTGGGCAAAGGCAGACTGGCAAGCCCAGCATGAGCAGTGGGAGAGATCGCGGACTGAATCTTCCTGGGTGGCAGCTGCCTCTGGCCCCCAGAGGGGAGCGGTGTTGGAGGCGCGGAAGAGTCCACGAGGAGAGCAAGCTGAGAATGAAGCCAATCCTGCCAGCCCCAGAAGGGGCCCCAAGGATGACAGCAGAGCGGCTTGGCTCACGTAGGAAGGGTCGGGGAGACCGAGGCTGTCTGGAGCAGGTAATGTCGGGAACTCTTCAGTGAGGCGCAGGGTCATGGGAGGCCGCCGGTGCGCTGATGAAGGCCACACTCAGGCCAGGCAGCCACGCCACGATCAGGAAGCCTCCCAGGCTCTGTCTCTGGCTAATAAAGGAGGCAGCCACCAGGGGAAATGGCACCTAGAGGGAGGTGGGAGTGTCAGCGACTCCCAGCACAGCCGGGCATTTGAGAGTCTGCTCAGGTCTGTACTCCAGGCTCCCGCCTCGGCCCAGGGACGCTTCCTGACAGTCCTTGGGAGGAGAAGGAGGATGGAGGATGGTTCAGGGCCATTGCCTTCCAAGGCAGGGCTGGCCTGGCTGCCAAAGCCCCACGGCTGGCCCTGGTGGCCAGAGGAAGGCGCCCCCTCTCCCTGACCTCCCTGGCCCACTTCTTGGCTCAAATTCTCCCTCTTCCTTCCTCATGCACCAGTCTTAATCTTAACAGCAAAAGGAAAGAGATGCGGGGAAGGTCAGGAAGGCTGGGAAAGGGCAGGGAGCTGCACTTCCGGGCCCACCTCTCCCACTCTGGGTTGGCGCTGGAGTTGCTGACTTCCTTCCTGGTGAGCCAGGTGCTCAGGCGGTCACCTGCAGGGTCTCTGCACCCCACGACATCTCTGTCTCTGCCCAGCACCACCCCTGTGGAGCCTGCGTGCTGCGCCACTCCGAGGACCACTGGGTAAGTCGCGTGGAAGGACGCAGGCCAGGTCAGTGGCTCAGTCCAGGAGCTGCCCCATGGCGCCAAAGCGGTTCTCAGAATGGTGGCCAGCACCCACGGAGGCTGCACCCCAGCGCTGAGCAAGGCGGGCCAGGCCTCGGCTTGTCTGTCCCCGGGAGGCTCCACGCCGCTGGACCCAGCTGTCCCCCTCAGACACGGGCTCAGAGCTGCTCCCAGTCCCCAGTCTGCACAAAGCCAGGTTCCGCATGCTGCAGCTGGGCGGCTGGGGCAGCGGGACTCAAAGACCCTGTGAAGCGGTGCTGGTGGTGCTGCTGGCCACGTGCTTCTTATTTGGCGCCACAGAGTTCAGCTGCAGTTGTGTGTGGATCACTGATTTAGAGTTCGTGCTGCTAATTAATGCAAGCCTGCCTTCTTCCTGACATCTATTCCAGACAGGACTTCTTTTATTCTCAAACAAAATATCCCAGAGCCGCAGCAGGAATGCTTGGGCTGTTCCTGGGCGTGTCAGGTGTCAGGGGCCCCTGCACCCTGGCCCACTGCCCTCTCCAGTGTGGGGGCCTACGCCTGCCCATGGGGAGATGGCCACGGCCCAGCTCTCCCAGGGCTTCTGTCCTGCGCAGGAGGCCTTGGGCTCTGCAGCCCAAGGAGCACGCAGCTGCGCCCACTCTCTGTGTGTGTGTGTGTGTGTGTGTTTGTGTGTGTGTGTGCGTGCGAATGCAAATGTGCACATGACCCGCCAGCAGCAGGGGCCTTGCACAGTGCACAGCAGGAGCCTGCACCGGTCGAGTCTGGGCCTGCATCAGGCTGAGGTCTGCAGGCAAGGTATTGGAAAGGATGGGCTCCCAGTGGACATGGGAGATGCCCACCCGCTGTGGGGCCGGCTGCGCTCCCTCACGGGGAAGGACACTTGCCCCTCTCCAGGGAGCACTGGGGGTGCCTCGCTGCTGCCCGAGGTGTGTGCAGCCAGCGCGCCCTTGTCTCTGTTACGTGGAGTCGAGTCCTGGCGAGGCCCAGTCCCTGCAGTGACTGAAAGCCTTCTGCAGTGCTGGCCTCCACCTCCAGCAGGGACCTCACTCCCAGCAACCCCAGCCTTCCAAGCCACCTGGGCTGAGCACCCAGATCTCGGCGGCAGGGGTCAGCTACGAACTGTGAGCCTGGCCAAGTAAGGTGCAGGCAGAGGAGTCAGCGCCAGCGCAGAGGGTGACTGGGCCCTGCTCCCGGGAAGTAAGCGCCTTCACCCTCACCAGGCCTTGGACCACAGCAGAGTTGGCGGTTTGCAGCTGCCCGCACTGTGGGGGAAAGCCAGCGTTTTCCAGATCTGTTCTATGCACACAGGCACAGATGAAGCCTACTTTCAAAGTGTTCACTGTAGTACCTTTTGTGATAGTGAAAAATCAAAGCCAGACTGCGTGGTAAGTCAAAATAGTAATAGCCGTAGTAAGTTTAAGGCACCGCAGAAGCTGAACGCACACACAGCATCCCAAATAATCCAACTAAAATGTGGCAAAGAGCGAGGCAGTGACCTCAAACAACCAGCACTGTGTGGAAATGTTCACCTTCCCAGCCCTCAGGGTATGCAGATCAGTGCGAACCAAAACCGTAGTGAGTTCCCATCTCACTACCTAGAACAGCCATCCCCAGAAAGGCAAAAAATCACCAATACTGGCAAGGGCACAGAGAAAGGGGAAACCATGCACCACTGGAGGACGGTAGGCTAGCTGGGCTATGATGGAGCGCTCTCAACAGACTGAAACGAGAGCCGGCATAGGACCAGCAATTCTACTGCTAGAATGAAGTCATTATAACAAAAAAGATACTCACACATCATGCACAATAGCTGAAATATGGGATCAATCTGGATGTCCATCAGCGGATGAATGGATAAAGAAAATGTGGTGAATATGTACAGTGGAATATTACTCAGCCATGAAAATGGAGTCCTGTCATTTGCAGTAATGTGGACAGAACTGGAAGCCATTATGTTAAGTGAAATAAACTAGACAGAGAAAGACAAATACTACGTGTCCTCATGCATTTGTGAAATAAAAAGAGAAAAAGGAATGATGTAGTGATAAGTAGAAATCACAAAGGGAAAGGAGGCTGGGGACTTGAAGAAGCTCAGTGAGGGGCATCAAAACACAGACAGGAGAAATGAGTCCTAGATTTTCTACAGGACAATTAAAACAATCTACTGACTAAAATAATCTAGGACACACCCTCAAAACCACTCGAAGAGTATGCAATTCCCAACACATAAAAATGATTAATGAGCTGGGATGGTGGTGAATGTTTGTAATCCCAGCATTTAGGAGGCTGAGGCAGGAGGATCACCATGATTTCATAGCCAGCCTGGGCTACACCGTCCAATTGAGTCTAGAATACATAGTGAGACCTTGTCACAAAGGAACACTTCAATGAACTTCAAAAACACTTCAATAGAAAATTGAAGGGCTGAGATGCAACTTAGTACGAAGACCCTGGGTTCAATCCCCAGAAATGCAAAAATATTAGTATTTGAAGAGGTGGACACCCTGATTACATGGCTCGGCTGTTATATGACGTGGACGTGGAGTCACTGTGATGCACCTCACAAAGACGTAGACGTATAATGTCCCCGTATACAGTGTTAGAGCCCGGAAGGCTCTGCACCTGGCCCTGTGGGCAGTGAGAGCCAGTGGCCAGCACCCACTTCCCGTCCACGCACTGGGTCGGGAGGCCGGTCTCGTTTCAGGGCTGCTGCTGCTGCTGCTGCTGCTGTAGGGTGTGTTGTGACAGAGGAGATAGGGAAATTCGGGAACCGAGTACAGAGACTGATGGAAGGGCAATGGGAATCCGGGCAGAAGTGTCGCTCCTGTGCACACATCTGCGGGAGGGGCCGCCCCTGGACCGAGGGCTGACCCTCGACCTCTGAACTTGCAAGAACCTCAGAGTGAGGCTTACAGCTTAGTTATGACAACCGGTCTCCAACTCTGAGCTTCTCCCTTAGTCTCCATTTTGTAGACTTTCCGTTACTGTGCTGAAATCCCCTCACCCCTGGGTCCTCAGTTTTCCTGTATCGCCCCATCACAGCATGGCTTGAGGGCCCTCCGGATGGGGAGGCGGGGGGGGGGCCCGGGCCCGCCCCTGTGTGTCACCTTGGGGAGCTGCAGGCCACAGGGCAACTCCCTTTCTCAGTGGAGGCGGTGCCGGGCGTGAACTCACTGACATCCGCAGGCACGGCTGGGGAGAGCCTTGCTTTTCACCTTGGCCGTGCAGGCCTGGTGGAGCCACTGCTGTTGTGCTCACTGATGGGAACACTCACTCCCTGGCCAGCCAGGTATGGCGAGGACAGCGGGGTCTGGTGTCCAGGAAGGACGAGGGGTGCGGGCGGGGGACCCACAGCGGGAGGAGGGGAGGGCAGAGCTGGGCAGTTTTAAATTAAAAATGAAATTAACTTCAAACTAATTTAAAGCCAATAGAGCAGCAGGTGTGCAGGGAGTGGAGCCCCCCGGACTGACCACTCGGCCGCAGACAGGTCATTTCCGGGGACTTTGAACACAGCGTGTGAGAGGAAGGAAACACTCGCAGCTTCCCTTTCTCCCGAAGAGGCCACCCCCGGCAGACCTCAGACTTCAGAAGCAATTCCCCCGGAGGCGGCCCTAACGATGTTTAGGCCCTAGAATCAAATATTCTCAAAATGTGTTTGTTTTTTGCTGCTCATTTGCCCAGACTGCAATGCTTCCTACCTCACAGCTCCCTGAGCCGGGCCGCACTCTGCCCTACTCTTGCACACGCCGCTGGCCTCGCAGCAGTATGGATGCCGAGGCTCAGCTCCTACAGCCATGCATCGGTTCGGGACCAGCAAGATGGTTACACAGAGAGCTGCTGTCCTGTGCTGTCCCAGAGCAAGTGACCAAGAAGAGTCCGGGCCTTCCCACAGCGGATCCCTGCGCCCTGGGGACATGAGGATGCCTGCTGCTGCCCTCTCGTGCCAGCCTGGGCCCAACCGGCACTGTCACCCGCCTGCCAGGTGCAGCCTCCTCACACTCTGGGCCTCTTCTGGAGTGGGCCCCGCCCAGTCACTGGAGTTCACTGTGTAAAAGTCTCGACAACAGCTTGACAGCAGGTGCTGGGGCAGCTTCCTCTCGAACATCTGCAAGCGTGAGGTGGAACGCAGGCTGCAGTACCAGGAAGGGCCCGCCAGGCTCGCCCTGTGCAAGGGGCTGGGTGAGCGAAGGTGAGGACCCAGGACAGCACCACAGCGGCACTCGGGGGCCCCTGGACGTGGATCCCGGGGGCCTCCCTGCGTGACTCCACACCCAGGGGTTTCCCTTCCACAGGGACATCGCTGTGTTGCCAGAGCTCACCCTCATGACCTTACCTCGTCATCTGCAAAGGCGCCGTTTCTAAGGGTCACCTCGCAGTACCAAGCACATGGGGCGGGGACACAGCCAGCCCCTGACCCGCGTGGCCTCCACTGTTGCTCGCACATGGACAGGAGGCAGCGGTGCTGCGCTGGCACTGCAGGCTGGGGCTTGGACAGCAGCGCTTACCTGTAATTCCCCGTCGTGTCTGTGTCCCTGTGCTGAGGGTGAGCGGCGGTGGGATGAAGCCGACGCCAGGACTCGGTGTTGGGCCAGTGTCAGACACAAACGCCCACTGACCGGGAAGAGTCCTCGGCCAAAGGATGTTAAAGTTTGCTGGGTATGTGGGCTTGCGGACACAGTAACAGGAAAACCAGGTCTCAGCTCCCTGGGCTTGGCTTACAACGCCACCAAGTGGGGTCTTCTCAGTCCGCTCAGAAATGCTGCTGACTCTGCCAGGCAGCCTGGCTGAGGACTGGGCAGCTCCCAGCACAGCAGGGTGGGACAGGGCCTGGAAGCTGGCAGAGAGAACTTGGCCACCGAGGACCAGGGCCACACCGAGGGCTGTGATCCTGGACCTCATCCCAAGAGGGGAGGCAGCCAGGGCAAGCAGCTGCCACTCTCATTGGGCGAGGATGGGGGAGCAGGTGCAGGCCAGGGCTGCCACCCACCGACCTGCCAGGCACTGTGGCCTCACTCAGGAGACACCAAAGTCGCAGCCCCGTGAAGGGCTCGGCT